AGAGGGACAGCATAGACTTTGCCTCGTACATATCTGCTTTGATGTAAGTAAATGTACATATAGCATGTGTATGTCTGCCTGCCTGCCTGTCTGTCTGTATATATGTATGTAAGGACGTATGGATGTATGTAGGTATGCATGTCTAGTTAGATGCATGTGTATATGTATGTGCATATGATGCATGTGCATATGCATATGGATTTGCCTATGTCGATATCTATGTCTACTTCTCTGCATGAGCTTATGGCTATGTCTACATCTATATCTTTATTTATGTCTATGCTTATGTATATGATATATATATATATATATATATATATGATATATGATATATGATATATGATATATATATATATATATATATATATATTGGTGTATATGTGTCTGCATCTGCATGTGCATGTGCATGTGTATGTGTACATGTATGTTCATGTGTATACGGGTTTACATAGCTTCTAACATGGTCTTGCTGCGAATGCCACTTGGTTTTGACACGGTTTGTCATGCATCAGATTCACAGGTTTCGTCTGCGTAGCTATGCTCCTGGCCATCGACCTCTAAATTCTCATGCCGCCTGCCCTGCCAAACCCCAAACCTGAAGCCTTTCAGAAGTCAACCTAAGCCCTCAGCCCTGAGCACTCTCGTCCGAATTTTTGTGGCACCGACATGGCGGCACTACTGTTTCCCAAAGGATCCCTTAATGGAGCCCGAAGCAGAACCCGTAAAGTACCTCTGAAAGGACCCCTTAAAGGACCCTTTAAAGGAACCCCCTACGCCCCGCTCAAGCATAACCTCGCTACACAATGGAGAACCGAAGATGCTTGCAACCCAGATCCTAAACCCGAGCCCCTACAAGTACTACAAGGTTTAGGGCCTGGGTTTACAATTAGACAGCCCCGACAACAGGAGTTTCCGAAAATGGGGGACCCCAATATGGTAGCCTAGAAAGTAGGATCCCAAATACGGCACCCCTAATTTTCGGAAACCTCCATACTTGCCCTGAAGATCAAAAACCAGAAACCCTCACACCCCAATGTTCCAGAAGGAACAGCTGGGGCTCAGGGAGTCCTAAGATCCTCGAGATTTTCAGCCCCCCATTGCTCTGTCTTCACCAAACGGCTTTCTAGCCATTGATGTTGGAGGAGCTAAGGAGCCAGTTATGATGATAATCCCCACTAAAAAAGAAGCTAAAGAGCCAAGGGAACCCCAAAACCACAGGTTAGTAGCTAGTATATCCCCATTATATAGCCCATTATAAGGTAGGGGTCCCCATGAAGGGTCCCTCCTTTTCCCCAGCCAAGGGAACCCCAAAACCATTGGTTAGCTGTCGGGCCGAGCTTCGGACGATTCTTTGCAAGTACATCTGAAGTAGGGTTTTAATTACCTGTTTTGGTGAGTGTAGATAGGGCTCTCTTTCAATATTGGTGAGTGTATATATTGGGTTTTATTATGGGGGTACTAGTAATATAAACCATACACCATCTGGTTTCTGTGACCTTACTAGCCGTGATTGCAAGTCTTAAGCTTTTGGGCGGCTCTGCCGCGAATGGGCTTGCGGTCTAAGCTTTGTTGGACCTAGCTGGGCAGCTAGGCCATCTTGCACGGATACTGAAGTAAAAACAAAACGAAGCGGCCTAAATTAGTATAGCCCTGCACAGCAATCTGGCCATGCGTTTTCATCTAAGCTCTGTCGCTCAGTCGTGCAGTGGAGACACTGTTCAATGCCCTGGATGGAGCCATGCGCAGCTACTTGGAGCAAGCTAACAAAACGTCAGACACCGTGATGAATTGGAGCAATCAGTAGTTTGGGGAATCGTGGCGACTAGTACGGTTAGACCTCATGCAGCTTATCATTAGAGTGTGAAAGCAGTAAACTCCAAAGAAGTGTGGCAGTTTGTGAGTACGTATAGAACTGCACAGAGAAGGATAAGGGTACGGATGCGGATGAGGATGCAAGCACACGAACATATTGCACGGTTTCAAGTCCATAAAACATACATATATACAGGCATGTATATATACATATATGTATATACATATGCATATGAAACATGCTCCCTCTATGTAGGCGGAGCTTGTTACTCAGTATCTACTAGAAGATGAGACGGCCCTTGTTATTCGTGCCTCTTTGTTTCAGCACATGTGCTTAAGTGTCAGACACTGTCCATGGTTGCATGGAAGATTCGGCATACAAGAGTAGATCAATGACGTGGTGACATGCTGCAGCAAGGACTTCGCTATGTCGCTGCTATTCAAAGATGTCTGAGCCCAGCATAGGTATGGTCTGTATACTTGGAAGCATAAGGAGAACTACATACTTACAGTTTGATTTGACATTCTGGTAATCCAAAGCAAGGGCTACTAAAAAGGGCGTAGCAACGCTGAAGTCGTTTACAAGTTTCCTCATCTCGGCTTGCAAAATGTCTGGATACTTGTATATGTAGCTTTTCCACAGATCGCCGGGCACGGGATTCGCAAAAGAACTGCACCTTTTCGGGGCATCTCATGTTCCCTGAATCTTCAAAGACTTGAAATCCTAAACCCTAAACTGAGATGGACTGAGGACACGAACATGCCTTGGTCTGGTCGGCGTGGATCCTCATTTCCAGGGCGTGGGTTGTTGACGCTCCAAATCGGTCAGGTTCAGGACCATGGGGATCTTATGGACTCGAGCAAAGTATTGGGGAATATTATGGTGAACCCCAGAAAGTTGGAACATGGGTTAGGGATGATACGTGCTAGGATTCCTTATGCTATACCTTATTGGTATGAGGACAATCATGTTCCAACTTTCTGGCTTCTACTGTATAGTCGGTCTATGCGGGCTAGAAGTCGGCTATCGATTGTGCTGATCGTGCAGGAAGGGCTGATGGAATTGCGCGCATGGCTTCGTCGTGCAGGAACGAGTGGCTGTTCCTTTCATTTGTGGCAGGCCATCTTTGCGATGGCCGCTAACCAGTATTAAGAAATATACTCCAAAATGTATCTATATCTAATATCTATATATATATATATATATACACATACATATATGTGAAGGTCCAATCACCAAGTGTAGCAATAGACCACGTCGTCTCAGTTCATCATTGTTGCAGTGGTAGTTGCGATGGAAATGATCGTAAAGGTTGACGTCCTGCCAGGTTTCGTGGTCGTCTCGTCGTCCGCATCACTTTGTGTGTTAATAATTTAAAATTGGTTCTTTTGTTCGTTAATTTCTCTCTCATTCTATTGAAACTGGGGTTGGCACGACCGCTGGTGCTTGTCTTGAGGCGGCAGTGAATGCAATGGTGGCAGTAGTGGATGTCGTCGTGGACCAAATACACCGTACTTGTAGAGCCGGTGCACCAACACAATTTGTCTGGCACAAGTCACGCATCTGGGTTGGCCTAAAACAACCCTAACAACGAAAACCCTAAACCCTAAAAACGACAACCCTCTTAAACCCCAATCCTTAAAAACGAAAACCCTAAACCCCAAAAGTGAAGACCCTCTGAAACCCCAATCCCTAAAAATGAAAACCCTACCTTAACCCTGAATAACCTACCTTTCTAGGGTTCCTTACAATGATTTCCTTATATAAGTCCTCAAAGAGGTTTATAGGTTCTTCCTGATGAAGGTAGACCCTACTGACTCAGGTCCTCAACTCTTTGAGCATCTTGGTCTCTAGCGCCTCCTGCTGCCAGATGCTCTTCACGGCAGGCGCTAGAGCCGGGAGTTTCCCGAAGAAGTGGGGTACCTTAGGGGTTCCCTTAAAGGGCGCGGGCGAGTTTCCGGAAGAAGTGGGGTACCTTAGGGGTTCCCTTAAAGGGTTAATTACTGTAAGGGTGCTATAAGGGTTCCTTTGGAAGGGCTCCAAAAGGGTTTAGAGTTTCCGAAAATCGGGGTACCTTACCTTATTTTGGGGGTACTTTATAATAAGGATCCTACTATTTAGGGTACTATAGTAGGGTCCCCCGTTTTCGGAAACTCCCAGTCTCTTTGGGACTCTTTTTAGGGGGGGTGTGGAAGGATTCTATGAGGGTTTCGTAGGGTTCCTCTCAGGGGAGCTGCAAGGGATCCTTAAGGGGGGTATGATCCAGAGCCACTGCGAGGGGTGGCGTTGAAGCTCAGCTTCGGCCGGGGTCTTAAGGGTTCTTAAAAAAGGGATCTATAAGGGTTACTATAAGGGGTAGTATGAGGGTATAGTGGTATAGTGTAGGGGCCTTAATAATCGCCTACATTGTAGTTAGTCTTGGGGCTTCAGAGACTTGAAGATGCAGCTGGGGGGAGCTTGTTGAAGTTTCAGGTCTGGCGTCTTGAAATTCTGTGCTCATCAGCGGTTAGAATTGCAGTTTCATGGGCGCCTGACAATCTGCAAGCCTTGGTAGATGCAGTGCCAATATGGGAGTTTCCGAAAATAGGGGACCCTAAAATAGTACCCTAAATGGGAGGATCCTTATAAGAAGGACCCCAAACCCCAAAGGGTCGGAAACGCCCATATGAAAACATCCACGAGGAGCAAGGTTTCTGGGCCCCTGCGCCCATGAGCAGGTGTTGACATTGTCTCGGCTTTCTTCTGGTTGGCTCTTAGGACTTTAACTTTTGGGGTTTCTAGATAAGCTTTGTAGTAAGGGGGCTAAAAGTTTAACGTTTAGGAGGGCTTCAGAAGTCAGCTAAGTTGATCTCTCTGTATGACCTGACTGTTGCTTCGATCCACATGGCCGTAGCTGCTACTGGAGCTTCGGGCAGCTATGGGGCTAAAAAAGTGGCCTAAATAGTTACCAATCCTGTTTTGGGGGTTCCTTATTATAGTAACTATAGCATAATATGGGCTCCAAAACTGCATTCCAAATATTAAGGCCCTTCTTATTCCAGTTATTAAGGCCCTTCTTATTCCAATTATCAAGGCCCTTCTTATTCCAATTATGAGGGCCCTTCGATTATGCGTAGATCGGTTCGGAAAGTGTCATGGCACCATCCTCGCGTGGCAGACTCGATCCGGCAGGCTTCATCCCTCTGCTGCACCGGGTCCTTGAGGTGCACACGGCTGCGGCTTTGTCGTTTTCAGGGCTCTTTAAGGCATATCCTAAGCCCTAAACCCTACAGAAAGGGCTACCATGGGGCCTGCGTTTGGGACACATCACGTTTCGCGGTTTCGCAGCGATTTGTTTCACATCATCTTGCTATCCTATGCTTGTATAAACAGTTCTGGGTTATTTACTGTATTGTTCGTACTTGTAGACATTTATGTCGCTTATCAATAATGTTGTTGTTTATAAGCAGGGCCTGTGTTTATAAACAGTGTCTGTGTTTATAAGCATGGCTTGTGTTTATAACCAGGACTGGCGTTTACAAACTAAGATGAAAGAGGGGGGGGGGGAGGGGGGGGGGCTGAGGGTTTGGGGCTGACATGTTGAGACCTGCTACCCCCCCCCCCCCCCCCCCCCTCCCCCCCCCCCTCCCTGCCCCTCCCCCCTCCCCTCTCTCTCGCGTCCCGTCCCCACCCCCAACCCCAATCCCACTCACCATGCACATAACACACCAAAAACCAAGCGCGCGCTGGCACCATTTCCACAAACTTTACCACTTTGTCTATCCTCCTTGGAAGAACACGTCGAGTTGCTGTATTTCTCGCACACAACACAACTTCGTTCGCCGATGTTGTGAAAACGCTGGTAATTACAATGTCTTTTTGCATCTGAAGTGTATGAGTTTATGCTTTGTGAACAAGTTGTATAGCATCACCCTTCCGTGTCTATGAACAAATGGTTTGTTCAGGGCACGTGAGCTGCTTACAGAAGTGCTGTATCTTCTCACGGTTCACAGGGTCTCGGCTGTACACAGACCGTCGCGATGTACACATCAAGGACAGTCGTAAGGATGGAAGGCGGTTTAGGGTTTAGGGACCAGAAAGAACCCTCAAAGCCTTATTTTGACATTCCATCATAGTTTCACTCTTCAATAGAAGCTAAATTCTGGCAATATCCGACATTGCTACTGCCAGCACTACAGCAGTTTTTTGGGGGAAATTGCGTTCTTTACTTCGAGATCAGCTTATGTGACTTATGTGACACTGATGTATTGTATGTATGTCATAATGCAAGGCTTCCGAGCCTTTGCTTCCTGGATATGACGATATACACTGTGTGTGCTGTTGTGTTTCGCTGATTTCCGCTATTCGCTTGCCTTGTGCTGTTGATTTCGACGAACGTGGTGATACATCCATATTTTGAAAAATTGTGGATCTCGACAAAAACGCATCTTCGACTGGGAAAACCATGATGCAGAGTGTATGCGAGTTGAGGACCGTGTTAATGTGAAAGTGGTGGGGTGGCAACTGGGAAAACAACTGTTCAAGGGTCATCGCAACCTAAATCACATGAACCGAACAGAAAGCTATGTATTGCTGTGAAACTGGAAGGCCCTAGGCTCCAAATACGTAGCACTGCGTTACAATAGAAACTAAATCTAAAACACACTACTCACTGATTTGTGTACATACAGGCAGTGTGCACCCCTGACACAATGTGTGTTGTAGCACTGCATAAAACATACTATGTATGTACATGCTCCCAGTTTGCAGCAGTAAATTCCTGCGATTGTCAGCATTGTTGTATACTGTTGTGAAGCCCCGCATAGGTAGGTAATACTGCAATCTTCAAACTGGGAAGAAAGTGGAAACTCACGGACATGTGCCAACTCAACACACAAGGAAATCAGAACACGGCGGGCGACACGGCTCCAAAGATTTTCGAGAGTCCAAGTTGTGGAAACAAATGCACGGTGCGTGAAATACTTTGTCTTCTTTCGTTTCGCTCGGATGTGGCCGGGTGTCCACTGCGTACAGGGTGCCATAATTAGCGCGTACCATGACCATGCAAGCACATAAACAGTGCATGTGCTCATGTAAGTTTAGCTGTGGAATATATACATGTGCACGTGTATTCGAGTGTATGCATTTTATATGTTCATAGGCCCTCATGGCCTTTTACAAGCAATTGCAACCACACACACACACATGTATAAATACATATATATATATATATATACATACGTACGTACATATATGCACATGCATAGGTGCTTCGTATAATGCTAAAACGCCAAAGACGCCCAAAAACATAAAATGCAAAACCCAGGCCCCATGACAGCCCGCTCTCAAACCCTAAACCCTAACAGGCTTACCTTAAGGCTCCTGGACCCTTGTAGTGAGATCCCGGACCCTAGCCCCCAAAGCCGAGATCCCCAGAAAGCCCAAGGCCCTCTTAGGAGCCTTAGGGTAGACGCTCACAATAGCCCAAAAGCCTTACATAGTATGGTCTTTGCGCCCAAAAGCCCTAAAATATGAGTCCTTAGAGCCTATAAGTCTATAAGGGTAAGGCTTAGACATTACTTCGATGTTGGGAAGTATATCCCTGCATCCTGAGCTGCACGTGAATATATGGGCCTAAATAATCTCCCATACCTAGTTTGGCGGGTTCCTTATACTGTAACTATGGTATAATATACCCCAGAGCCCTATTCTACTTATTGAGGCCCTTTTTTTATCAATCAAAGCCTTCGGCCTTCCAGCATCGAGCTCTGCCCGAAATCTCGAGACTGGTGCCTTCCTGAACTGACGCTTTCGACCGAAGTTTGCACTTCATACAACCTTCTTCAAGCTCCATTGTCAGGGATTTCTATGACTGACTCACAGCCTAGAGTCAGCTAGAGGTACAGTTCTGCTCGTGAACCTGAGATCCTGCATGATGTCGATAGTGGCTAGTTTCCTTGCCTTGCACTCCTTTACAGCCTTATGGCTTCTGCGACACTTACGATACAGACTGCAGTAGCTATACAGCTGTATTCCGATGGTTGGCCTCATGCTGTCACATTTGATGGTTTCGTCTTCGACTTCAGCCGAATCATTGTAAACGCTTGTTGAACTTGTCTGTGTGTATGTAGGTTGGCATGTGCGCACGCATACATGCATATATGTGCGCATGTATTGGTATGAACGCTTATGCACATGCATCCACATGTAGTTGTGCGTGTATGTACATGTACATGAAAGCATAGGTGTAGGTGCATGTCTCGTGTGTGGGGTATGTATGTATATGTGTATATATATATATATATATGTTTGATATGTGTAGTGATCGGGTTTCGGGGTTTGATATCCACCAGTGTTATTTCAACGTTTTCTGCGGCCTCTGCCTGTAGGCTCATCGACCAACGTTGAGACTAAAACGAGACAAAGGCCTTCGTGCTTTTGAGTTCTCACAGACTTTTGCAAGAAGCTAAATTCTAAACGAAACCCTGAAGCCTAGACTCAGATCTTTTGCTTGTTGGATTTTGACATTGGGAGCAATACGGAAGATTGAAGTTGAGGCATCGCTCGTTCAAACTCCTCGGAACCCTATTTTCATGCAGGACCTTGCGCATGAAGGTTGATCTTCGGCTTGGAGTTTACCACCCTAAACTCTAAACCCCATTTCTGCAGGTCTACACTGCATTCACGGGGATTCTGCCAAAAGCGCTTGCGAGACGAGATGCCGACCTGACAGGTTTGAGTCTCTAGGGTTCGCTTTGCGGGCCTAGCTTGAGGCCAAGAGCTCCTCCCTTCTGGACCCAAAAAGGGACCCTCATTTTAGAGAACTACTCTTTATATGTTTTACGGGTTTGGGGTTGGGTGGTGGAGGTCAGAATTCTCAGCACCCATAATAGGGAATTCACCATAATCTCCACAGTCTAGGGTCCTTAAGGTAAGGCAGGGTTTATATCATCAACCGTATAGGACATGTAAGGACGCATTTGGGGTGGTTGCTTGTTTGCAGAAGGAAGTCTTCACATTTGGCCAGTAAACTTTATTCAGCTTGTAGGCCTGGGTCTAAAATGACGAAGCCCGTAATCCGAAGACTCTTAGCCCTGCACCGTAAACCCTCAACCCTAAGCCCTTAACCCCTAAGCCCTACTAAACCCTAAGAACTAAACTCTAAGCCCCTAAACCCTAAACCCCTAAACCCTAAACCCCTAAACCCTCAACCTTAAACCGTGGATGGCAGGAGAAGCTAAAGAGCATGACCCAGACGGCGCCAGAGTTTGTTTCCACCTTCAAGCCATCCGCGCAACTTGGCAAAGTATGGTTTGAGGTTAGGGCTTTGGGTTTAGGCTTTGGAGTTTAGGGTTTGGGGTTTAGCGTACAGCGTTTTGGGCTCGGGGTTTCGGGTTTAGAGTGTCAGGTTTAGGGTTTAGGCTTCATTAGGCTTCAGATTCACGGCATTTATGAGACGGCAAGACGAAAGGCTGTACTGGCCACGCCTTGCTCCACGAAGCACGATGCAGACTAGTACAGCCTGATTACAATCCTGACAATGTTAACTTGGCTACTTCTTGTCTAAAACTCTAGTAAAAAGGAAGGCGAGAGATGATTTCAGTGCTTGCGCGGACAATCCTAGCTCAGAGTGGCACGGAGTGCCCGGACAGCATCCCCACTCAAAGAAAGCAAGTAAGTATTGAATGTATTTGTATGCGTATGTACAGAGAGTCCTAACAAGATCCATTTACTTGTCCAGCCAGGGCAGCTCTCACTTCTCCCACATAGTGTGGTTGTTGAGGTTTGAGAAATTTTGAGAAATTGCCATCGCACGAGGATACAGAAAAATCCCGAGACGCTGAAGGAGTGGCCGCTTGGATGCACGGCGGCTCTTCATTTCCAAACCCAACGCCCCATGCAGCCGACATCAAAAGCCGCAACATGGTCACTAGTACTACTATCCCTCCTCTTGCTCCTACTACGTACCGCCACAACTATTGCTACTATACTACTACGACTGCCAAACAGTCCTTCGCAACTAACTGCTGCTACAACTACGACCACGACCACCACGACTAGCACTCCCATTGGCAGTAGCCCTAGCAGTACTTGTAGCGCTAGCACTTCCACTAGCACCACCACCACCACGACGACTACTACTACTCCTGCTACTACTACTACTACTACTACTACTACTACTACTACTACTACTACTACTACTACTACTACTACTAGTACGTACTACTAGTCCTACTAGTACTACTAGTACTACTACTACTACTACGACTACTACTACTACTACTACTACTACTACTACTACTACTACTACTACTCCTGCTACTACTACTACTACTACTACTACTACTACTACTACTACTACTACTACTACTACTACTACTACTAAACTACTACTACTACTACTACTACTACTACTACTACTACTACTACTACTACTACTACTACTACTACTACTACTACTACTACTACTATTACTACTATTACTACTATTACTACTACTACTACTACTACTACTACTACTACTACTACTACTACTACTACTACTCCTGCTACTACTACTACTACTACTACTACTACTACTACTCCTACTCCTACTCGTACTCCTACTACTACTCTAGTAGCGCCAGCAGCAGCAGAGCCGCGAATCCGCTCCAGCCTATCCTGGAGTAACAGCAGCAGTGTTGGCAGCGAGTTGGGCTTGCCATGCCATGCGCCGTTGGAGGTGGTAACGTTTTGGGGCTCCACAATGCCTACAGAATCCCGCAGCTCCCTAGAATAGTTGGAGACAGGCCAGGCAGCCATGTCACGGGTTGGGCATTGGAACGTACTTTTGTTCATGCTGTCAGTGCACAGGCACCGGCGATTGCTGTGTTGTTCTTGTCTCTTGCAAGAAGACCGCGAGGAATCCCAAACGAGCAAGCATCAATGTTCCAGGCTTTGTCAGCACCCTCTCACCTTGAGCCATGAACCCTAATACCCTCAACCCTAAACCCTAAACCAAACCGTAGATCGGGGCGCGAGAGGATTGAGCTTCAAAGCCGCTAGAAATCCTGAAGCACACCGAGGTGGCTGAAGAAATCCGTGTCTTTACCCGAGCTTCCCGAGACGGGGTCGGCACCACGTCGGCCCTCCATGGCTTGGTCAGGACCTTAGAAACGGTTTAGGGTTTAGGGTTTAGGGGTTTAGGGGTTTAGGGTTTAGGGATCCAGGCTTGGGTCTTGGGGCTTCAGAAAATTGCAGACTATAGGGCCGTAAATTATTACTAATACTATTTGAGGGGTTCTTTAATATTTTTGTAGTATAATACGGCCCAAAACCCTATTCTAATTAACTAAGGCCCCCATAGTATGATTATTCAGTTCGCACGAAGTGGAGGATTATGTGCGCGGAGTCCATCATGAAGGGCTCCGGACGAGCGGATACACTCCTTTTTGTTGTTCTTGTTGGTTTGCTCCTGCAGCTGGTATTCACCTGCCTTCATTCACCCGAAATCCTCAAACCTGAACCAGACTCCACCAGTTATGCTCCTCCTCCTGCTCCTGCTCCTGCTCTTGCTGCTCCCACTGCTACGGCTACTACTACTACTACTACTACTACTACTGCTACTGCTACTGCTACTGCTACTGCTACTGCTACTGCTACTGCTACTGCTACTACTACTACTACTACTACTACTACTACTACTACTACTACTACTACTCCTACTCTTACTCCTACTCCTACTCCTACTGCTACTCCTACTCCTTCTCCTACTCCTACTCCTACTCCTACTCCTACTCCTACTCCTACTCCTACTGCTGGTGCTGCTGCCACTACTTCGGCTACTGCTACTGCTGCTGCTACTGATACTGCTACTGCTACTACTGGTATTATTATTAGTATTACTACTACTACTACTACTACTACTACTACTACTACGACTACTACGACTACTACGACTACTACTACTACTACTCCTACTACTACTCCTACTACTACTACTACTACTACTACTACTACTACTACTACTACTACTACTACTACTACTACTACTACTACTACTACTACTACTACTACTAGTACTACTACTACTACTACTACTACTACTACTACTACTACTACTACTACTACTACTACTACTACTACTACTACTACTTCTATTACTTCTACTACTTCTACTACTTCTACTACTCCTACTCAAACTCCTACTCTTACTCCTACTCCTACTCCTACTCCTACTCCTACTCCTACTACTGCTGGTGCTGCTGCCACTACTTCGGCTACTGCTACTGCTGCTGCTGCTGATACTGCTGCTGCTACTACTGGTATTATTATTAGTATTGATACTACTACTACGACGACGACTACTACTACTACTACTACTACTACTACTACTATTGCTACTACTACTACTCCTACTCCTACTCCTACTCCTACTCCTACTCCTACTCCTACTCCTACTCCTACTCCTACTCCTACTCCTACTCCTACTACTACTACTACTACTACTACTACTACTACTACTACCACTAATACTACTACTACTACTACTACTACTACCACTACTACTACTACTACTACTACTACTACTACTACTCCTACTACTACTACTACTACTACTACTACTACCACTACTACTACTACTACTACTACTACTACTACTACTACTACTACTACTACTACTACTACTACTACTAGTACTTCTACTAGTACTGCTACTGCTGCTACTGCTACTGCTACTGCTACTACGACACTGTGCTCCTGTGCTGCTCCTACTCCTACTACTCCTCCTCCGTGTCCTACTCCCACTCCCACCCCCACCACCACTCCCACTCCCGCTTCCACTGCCACTCCCACTGCCACTGCTGTTGCCACTGCTAGTTGTACTGCTACTGCTGCTACTACGACGGCTACTGCTGTGGTGAACATCACTACTTCCCAGTTTGCTGTTCCCGGCGCCTCCTGCAAGCCCATAGACTCCAGGCTGTCTGAGTCCCGGTCTTCGAAGGAGACCAGTGGACACAGGTGCGCATAATTCTCAAGTCTGTATGTCTGCATATATATATATATATTCTATAATAAATGAATAAACAGATAAATATGTATGTGTATATATATATATATATATATATGGTACATACATGGACATACACATATACATCATATACAGATATGTAGCGTTTCGAGCTCAGGGCTTCTCTTCCTGGCGGTCCCGGGTTTGGCTTCCCTTATGCTTAGAGGGTATGACCTTCATGTCGGCTTGGGGGTCATCGGGCTTAGGGATCCTTAACGGAGATCTACTAAGAGGGATTTATGAAGTTACCCTAAGGGTCCAATTCCCTAATAATCATATAGTAGAACATAATGCAGCACAGAACAACATCATTTCGGACAAGACGCAACAGCTTGTACTATTTCACGATAGAATAAAACCTAGCACAAACAATGCAATGACATATATCATAGGATCCAACCCTAAACCCTAACCCCTAAACCCTAAACTCTAAGCCCTATAAGGTGAGTCTAAGGTGTTTCAATGCAGGCTATGGATTGGCGCCTCAGTTTGAACCCAACTAGACTCAAACGCATCTACAGCCGAAGCCCCAAATTTCAGGCTGTAGGGCTTTAGGTGTGCAGGGTTTAGGGCTTTAGGGGTTTAGGGGTTCAGGGGTTTCGGGGTCTAGGCGTCTTGGGGTATAGGGGTTTAGGATTTAGGGGTTTAGGGGTCTAGGGGTCTAGGGGTATAGGGGTTTAGGATTTAGGGGTTTAGGATTTAAGGGTTTAGGGGTTTGGGGATTTGGGGCTTGGGGATAACTAGCAAGTAAAGGCAGATCCCTGCAGTGCATAACGGTGGTTCTCCGTGATGTGATCGACGAGAAATCCCAGCAAGCCCGATCTAGCCGCATGGTGCCATGGCCTCACCGGCAAGATGTTAAGCGCATCCGCAGCTTTGGAGATTGAGGTGGATGGTGGTCCGTCCAAGCCAACCCTGAGAAGCCCATTTTTGTAACTTATGTCCTCCTAAGCCCTTTCAACCTTAAGCCAGAATGCATCCGAAAACCTTTAACCCAAATCCCAAAACCTTGCATCCTAAAGCCCGACACCCCAACAAAGACTAAAGCCACCCTGAAGCCCTAGACAGTGGAACCATACACGTCAGAAATCTATATACAGCCAGACCCGACACCGTCAAGACTTGTGTAGTTCGGTCATGAGATCGGAGTGTGCATTTAATTAGTTTTTGGCAGCAGCTCAGAATGCATTTGCTGTACTGGCTCAGCTGCACTGCTTGGGATATGACGAAATACCGAGCCCCAAAGCCTGAACCCCGCAATGAACTCTAAAGAGCATTGACACCATCTATAGTGAACACCAGAAAGTTGGAACATAGATTTAGGATGATTCATGCTGGGATTCCCTATACTTTACTTTAAGGCCATGAGGCTAATGATGTTCCAACTTTCTGGCTTCTACTGTAATCATTTTAATCAGGCCCTCGAGAAATTGGAGTTTCCTGAACCCAAGGTCCGTCACCCGGTACTCTATTGAGTAAGGTCCCTGGGATAAGATCCGTGACGCAGGTCTCTAAAGACTGACCTAATCCCGAAACCGAGAAACCCAAAACCTGAAACCTTAATTTCTAAGCCCTAACCCCTACCTTAACCCGGAATAACCTACCTTTTTAAGGATTTATATAAGGAAATCTTAATAAGGAACCCTAAAAAGGTAGGTTCTTCAGGGTTAAGGTGCACCGTAAACCTAAAACCATCATGGCTTGCCATGACTCCGCCGCGCAGCCAGCCTCCTGTCAGCCCGGGGATAAGCAAAGCAAGCTCAGAAGCGAAGGCACCGTGTGTTTTGATGGATTTGGGGTTGGGTTTGGGGTTTAACACAAAAGACCAATGTAAGTCGGAAGTGCATCAGTAAATGAGAGGACGAAGTACTTCAGTGCGTAAAGGTGATTCGAGCTTTCGACCGTGGCTGCTCAGAACCTCTGGTTTGGGCACTCTGGAACACTCTGCAAAGACTGCAAGCCAGAACCATGCAAAGTACTAGGAGCGAAGATTGTAAAACAAATTCGTTGGTAGATGTACTTCGTGCCTTCGAGGCAGGTCCTTTTGTCTGCAGCCTTTGCAGGGCTTCGCTCGCTTGCATGACGGTCGTGAGTGGGCCCTTCAGTTCGTCGTTACACGCCATCTGTGGTTCAACGCACTCTCTTGCAAATGGGCTCGTGAGCCGTTCCCACGCAGGATGCCATCCGCCTCCCATGATCCAAGCCGAGGTTTCAACGATACACAATGGAGGTAGTACCTAGCTGCATTGTAACAGCTGCTTCCAGCAATTGCAAGCACCAACCGTCATCATCATCTTTTCATGACCAACCTCATCAACCTCCCAATCCCTAAACCCTAATCCTATTACCCTGTGACTATCAACCTAGCCTCACACTCCGAGCAAAGATGAACCCTAGGTTCCTTTGCCCAAGCGCCAGGAGCGTGGACTTTGGCCTTGCGGAAGTTGGCCGGGGTGTCCCCGAGAGGTGCTGAGCGTGTCTTCTGCGAGGCCCGGTGGTACTCTAGGTGGTTGTGGGTTTAGGGTTCATGTTTGCCCCACCAATTCAGTCACTCCCATTATTCCAGGTTTCTTCAAGGGGTTTAGGGGGTTGAGGGTTTAGAGTTAGGACATCTTGCTTAAGGCTTATAAGGGCCTTAGCATCCTTATGAAAGTATTTAGGGTTCAGGGGGTAGGGGCTGCAATATAAGGGCCTAATTGATGGCCCATACTGTTTTTGGGTGGTTCCTCATTATATCTATAGTATACTGGGCCCCAAAACCCTGTTCTAATTATCAAGGCCTTTTTCTTAGGGGCTAGAGTTTAGGGGGTTCGGGCTTCTTTACGAGGAATTCTCTGCTCTGCTTCGAAAAGGTGTGAGCTGGGAGAACTCAACCTTGCGGTTGCTTCCAACAGGCCACAAGCCCCGCGGGCGAATGCGTGAAACCACTCCTCGAGAGCTTTTTTCGTGTAGTATTGTGTACACTGACTCTTTGTCGTCTGATCCTGCAGACACTCATCATGGAGAGTTTGGGGGGTGGGATTCAGTGCTTTTGCTCCTTGGCTTCAGGGTTTAGGCCTTCGGTCTTCACTGTTTAGGGCTCTTTTGGTGCTTGAGGCCACTTGAGCTCGTATATGGGTCAAGTGCCGAGGGATTGGCAAATTCTGGACCTTGCCGGCGACAGACAGGTGGCGCAGTCGCAAAGCACCAGATCTGTGATGTTGGGGTCGTGGACGAACTGTCGAGACATCGTGAACGCTTGGCTACGGCTACGGGATCGCGGTAACAGTGAAACGGCGCCATCATAGCAGTGAAGACAAAGCCAACAGCCAACGTCAACATCTCTTCAAGGGTGACTCTGCGGCAAGACTAATTACTCGAGAAAATGTAAGATCATCGGAATCGTGCCATCTTTCCTCATCCTCATGGCGACATTGCAGACGAGAGTGGTCAACAACATTACCGAACGAAGCAAGTGCTGTGCATCCCCGAAGCCTTTGACCCATGACATGGAATCCAAGTGCTGCGCGATCGCTAAGCCTTAAACAATGCGAGTTATTGTCCTCCTCTTCTCCTCCCCTCCCGCAAAAACCCGAGAACCCCTAGCCGGCAAAACACAACTTTGTGGATCTGGATGAAGCCTCTAAACCCTACCTAGACGAGATAACCTACCTTTTCAGGGTTCCTGCTCATGATTTCCATATATGGGGGTTTCCAAAAATAGGGGACTTTAGTATAGTATCCTAAACAGCAGGATCCTTATTATTATAAGGACCCCTAAGTAAGGTACCCCTAATTTTCGGAAACTCCCATATAGGTCTTCACAAAGATGGGATCTTCACCGTCCAGTCCAGGTAAACCCTGCGCCCTCTAAACCCTAAACCCTCGTGTCAGGGGCCCCAAAAGGCATAGGTGGGGTAATGCCCGAATAAGGGTCCTTGTATAGGGGATCCTTAATCCTACCTACCTTCCCCCACCTTTTGAGGCCTCCAATCGTGAAGCCCTGAAGCTCAGAGGCAATCGCATGCTGCAGCCGAGCCACGCAGCGCCTTGGCTACTTACATTCATATGGCACCTCTTCGATGAGAGTTGAAACCTGGGTCATAATCTCCAAAACCCTAAACCCTAAACCCAAAACCCTAAACCCCAATCTCCAAAACCCAAAACCCTAAACCCAGAACCCTAAACCCAAAACCCTAAACCCCAATCTCCAAAACCCAAAACCCTAAACCCAGAACCCTAAACCCAAAACCCTAAACCCCAATCTCCAAAACCCTAAACCCCGAACCCCAAATCTCCAGCTAGTCGGTCCTCGGCTTCCCCTAAACCCTGAACCTTCTGAACTACGGTTGATGATATAAATCCTGCATTACCTTAATGACCCCAGACTATGGGAATTACGGTATATTCCTTACTATGGGTCATGCAGGATTTATATCATCAACCGTAGGTAGGGCTTTGGGACATTTTATATTTTCCCTTATTGGGCTTAAGAGGATCTTATTTACTAATATTCTTCAAAGGCTTTAAAAGCCCCACCTAGTGAACCGAAAACCCTGTCCACCGGGAGGTGGGTGTTGGCCTTGGACATCTTTTCCAAGATCTCTGCATCCGGCGCCCTTCCCAACATCTTCATCTTCAGTGCCCCGTCCTTTAAAGGGCCTAGGGGCAAAAATCATTAACCAGAAACAAACAAACAAATACACAGATACGTAAGTCGTCAAAGTTATATATATATATGTATATACATACATACATACATGTATCCATAGTTTTGTTTCCATTGGTATGTATAGTCATATTCACATTTACGTTTTCTTACTTATACATTCATACATATATACAGATGTGTGTATATATATATATATATATCTCTCTATATATATATATATATGTACATGTGTAAATATGATATATGCACTTATATATATATATATATGTATATACATATATATACATATATATATATATGTATATACACACATGCAACATGCATACACACATGTGTTTCATGTACATACACGTATTTGTATGCATATACACACATACATACATCCTTCAAAGGAGCCCTTAAAACGGTGTTTTTAGGGATGCTAGGCATCGAGGCCTTTTCGTGAGACCGAGTCCTAAATCGTACGCCCATAGACCCGAAGAGCTTAAAAGTAGAGTATGCTTGAGTATATTGTGGTATAGTATACTGTTTGAATATATCTTAATTTTAATGTAGTATACTGTATACTGTACTCGGAATATTCCCAGAAATAGTACACTCTCCATCAATCCCTCCGCTCACAAACCCGAAGCCTTTCGGAATAAGATAGGGTGTATCTGGTCTATGTGGTCTTTCCCATCAGGACACCCGAAGTTCGTCGTTTTCGTGTCAATCTGAGAATTATGTTGTGTTCATTACGGTTTCATTGCGCGTTCCTGCGACTGCTTGGCTATGAGCCGTGGCCCTCCAACCTCTGAAATTGCTCACGCTTCGGTTTGCCGGTTTAGGGTCCTGATTACATGATCTACTGCAGGGTTTTGAGGCGATTTAAGGGGTTAGGAGCATGTTTAGGATATATCCATAGTCTTCAAAAGTTCTCGAAGCTGCAGTGGTCCTGCCGCTTGAACTGAATCGGAAGGTGCCGCAATCAGTGCGTGTGAGAAGGGGAGTCAATGGCAGTTGGCACTCCTTTGTCTTTTCTCAGACATGGCATTTGCCCGGGTGGTTCCCAACATATTCAGCCCCTTGGTTTCTTGTACACATCTGAACCGGGCGGCATGTACTGCCACCAATGGGGTTAGCTTTTCATAGCACCGTTTGTTGCATTCGTATGATGTGCTTGGCTCTCACGTGCCGGTGCCGAGGTTTCAGTGCTGCCATCAGTGCCTGCGAGAAAAGTGGTCGTTCGGAAGAGGCTTTGGCACTGCTGTCAGAGGCACAGTCTGCAGAGGTTGTACCGGACGTCGTTTGTTTCAGCGCTGCAATTAGTGCAGCTGAGAAGTGTGGTCAATGGCAAGTGGCATTGCAGCTTCTGTCCAACATGCTCCAAGCAAGAACTGCGTCGAATGTCATCGCTGTCAGTGCTGCCATAAGTGCCTGTGAAAAGGGAGGCCAATGGCGGATGGCTCTCCAGCTGCTTTCAGGCATGTCTACCCTGGAATTGCAAGCAAACGAGGTCAGTTTCAGTGCTGGTATCAGTGCCTGTGAAAAGGCTGGGCGATGGCAGTTGGCGCTTGCACTCTTGTCGAGAATGGCAGTCGCCGACCTAACGCCGAACAAGATCAGTTTCAGTGCAGCGGTTAGTGCCTGCGAAACAGCCGGCGAGTGGCAACAGGCCTTGCACCTGCTGTCCAAAATGTTCTCCTCCGCTACGTTACCCGATAGAATCTGCATGAATGCAGGAATCAGTGCGTGTGAGAAGGGCAGTCGCTGGGAGATAGCTTTGCAGCTGCTCTGGTCGATGGCTACAGAGAGCCTGCTCCCGAACACAATCAGCTTCAGCGCTGCCATCAGCGCCTGCGACAAGTCCGGCGAATGGGTGTCTGCCCTCCTGTTGTTAACACAGATGTCATCAAAGCAGGTGAGGCCGAATGAAGTTAGCTTCAGTGCTGGCATCAGTGCATGTGAACAAGGTGATCAGTGGCAGATGGCTTTGGAGATCTTGTCGGAAATGGCGAGGGGACTAGTGCGCGGCTTTGGTCGCCGTGCCGGGCATCCGTGACTAGCGGCTGTCCCTGGGTGTTCCTTGGTCAGAGGCTTAGAACTGAGAGTTTTTGCAGGACAAGGTTCAGGGTTGAGGGTCCGCGGGTCGGCCATTGCGGTGAAAGGCACTGTGCAGAAACGTGTCTACCCCAAGACCGAACAGCCCCTCGAAGGAGCGAAAGCCGATTCCATCCAACGGCCCGGCCCATCCAAAGGAATCTAGCTCCTAAGCCCCAGACTACAAGTGCCAAAATAAGTACCAATAGCATTGTGGGGGTTCCTTATTGTAAGTATAGTACCCCCAAATAGTAGCCCTTATAGACCCCTTCAAGGGAACTCAATTCTTGTTATTAAGGCCCCTACATTACCCTGTTGAAGCCATGCGACTTGCCACCATGGGAGGATCAGACCAATCGTGGGTGTTTCTGCAGCAGCATGTTCTTGCAAACTGTACTGCAACAGCACAGGCCATAACAAGTGATACGGAGATCTCTTCAACCAATCGTCACCGAACACAGAAAAGAAGCCTCGCTCATCAGTAGTATCGAGATACACAATGAAGAGTAAGTAAGGAGTTCTAAGCCGCGCCCCACAGGACCCCAAGAAGTTCTACAGCAACCTGCATCCCCAAACCCTACAAACTAGTAGCTTATGATATGAACTCCTTATATTTTTTGAGGGTGTAGCCCTTAAAACAGTAGGCTTTTGGATCTCCAAGTGAGGCCTCGTATACTAAATCCTTATATAACAGCCCTTCTAGTAGCCCTTCAGGCGAGCGACTTCCCCAGCGCTCCGGGACTGCCCAGCCGCCATCTCGAGCGTCGATGATATTGGCATGAAGAGGCTTCTTTGGGGTTTAGGGTTTAGGGCTAGGGTATTGCCTAAATGAGAAGGGTTTTGCCAGGGTTCCTTTTGCGTTTTCGACCGTTTTTTGTAATATAGGGGCGTCAATAATTACTCTTTTGGGGGTTCCTTATTATCATTATAGTCGTATAATGGACACCAAAATCCTATTCTAATTCATGAGGCCACTATGCTAGGGGTGTTTAAGGAGGTCAGGGTTGAGGAGATCAGGGCTTCTGCTTGCAGAGCTTTAGCCCTTCTTGGAGGTTCATGGGTAGTTATAAGGCTTCCTTCAAGGGTCCCTTCAAAGGGATCTATAGGGATTCTATAAGGGTATAGGGTTTAGGGTTTCGGGTTCATGGGTAGTTATAAGTGGAGTTAAGGTCCCAAATATGGGTTCTAACGATAGTTACCCTACTTATAACTCCACCTATAACTACCCATGAACCTCTAAGTAGACCCTAAACCTTTCCTTTATAGAATCCCTATAGATTCCTTTAAAGGGACCTTAAAGGCAGCCTTATAACTACCCATGAACCTGCAAGTTTTTTGGGTCCCAAGCCGTCGCGGCTGGATTTAGAGTTTGGGTGCCGGCAGTGATCTGATTTCTGCATTACAATAATGGTCATGGACTATGGGAGTTATTGCATATTCCTTGTTATGGACTATGGGAGTTATTGCATATTCCTTATTATGGTTAGTGCAGGATTTATACCATCAACCGTAGGGACCCGCCAAAAGCACCTTGTTTTCCTTTGGAGTCCCGGCTTTGCTTCGAGGCTATGATGGAGATTCGGTTGGGTCACAGGGGCCTGAACTCAACGGTGGAATCCGCAACTCTGAAACTACCGAAAGCTGCAAGACCCTCTACCCTGAAACGAGGAACGTGGGCGAAGGGTTTGGGGCTTAGGATGTAGGGTGATATCCCTTTACAGGGGTAGTATGTGTAATCTAGCTCGACTCGTTTCTTGCATCATCCGCTCCGAATCCCAAACTTACGGCCCGGCGCCAAACCCTGTGCCCGAACACCGAAGAACAACTCGCAAAACTTGAACATGAAGGCACCCTGAACCAGAGAGAGAGAGAGACAGAGGGGAGACACGGGGATAACAGGTAGTGATTACCCAGAGGCCCCAAAGTAGTTCCTTTTTGGGAGTACCTAATAAGATTCTATATACGAACCCCAAAAAGGAACTACTCTGGGGCCTTTGATTATGACCAGACGAAGAAGAGCAGTCGTGAGAATCGCCGGAGAAGGTCGTGCCCTGCTCTGAGGCTGATGGCTTGCCAGGCGTGCTACCCCCCTTCGGCGGCACAGAACTCGGTCCAACAGACCGGTGTCGGTGATGAAGAGCGGGACGGAGACAGAAAGAGAGAGAGAGGATAAGAGACAGACAGACAGAGAGAGAGAGAGAGAGAGAGAGAGAGGATAAGAGACAGAGAGGGAGAGAGAGAGAGAGAGAGAGAGAGAGAGAGAGAGAATAAGGCGAGATTGTTCAATCTCATAGATAAGGGCCACGATGATAGCCACGCCCATCCCAGCGAGGCTTGTGCCAACTGCGGGCCCAGAAGTCCTTAGCTGTTCATGCCCAGGAACCTGATTAAGAAACCCTGGGCCTATAACCCCAAAATAGCAGGATTCATATAAGGAGCCCTCATAAAGGCCCAAGGGTTTCTTAATCAGGTTCCTACAGTATTACAGTACCCTAATAGCTCCCTTTTTCTAACCCTTCTAGACCCCTTTAAAGGCCCTAAACCCTACAGTAGGTTGCTGCGTCTGCATAGCCAGCTCCGTCGGTGTTTGCTAGGCGACGTCTCCAGCGCGCACGAGCTGTGCCAGGCCGATGTGCCCTGACTGCAGAGCCCATAAAAGGCTGCTAGGTAGGGCTTTGGGACATTTTATATTTGCCCTTTTTGGACTTAAGAGGATCTTACCTACTAATATTTTTCAAAGACTTTAAAAGCACCTCCTAGGCTGTAGCGGCGAAGACTGATGCCTCAACGGCCTGGTACATTGTATATCCTAAGGTGTGGGGTTCAGGGTATCTGTGGGGGCTTGAATTCGGGATGTTCGTTCCAAACACTGAGACCTCCTTTTTGGCTTGAGGATTTGTGGTTCCAGCCGTTAGCCGTGTCCTTATTCGCATCTCCACCGTCTGTTTTATGGTTGGCCATCGTACTGAGGCTGCTACACCCTGAAACCATCTAAATGCTGTTTAGCGAATGTTCGACTTGACAGACCACCATAACGCTAGAGCCCTAAAGCCTAAAGCCTCAAAGCTTTAATCCTTTATCCCTGAGTCCAGAACCCCCAACCCCAGCATAAGCCCCAAACAGAGCCTTACATTACACTCAAGCCCACCACCCCCCTCCAAAATGAAGCCATAAACGCTTGGAGCTCTCTAACCCTTAAATCAAAACCTAAACCCTAAACCCCAAACCCAAAAACCCTAAACCCAAAAAGCCTTCAACCGTAAAACCTAAACCCTAAACCCTAAACCTTTGAGGCCGACCAGGGAGAACTGGCCCTGGACCTGCAAATTCTCGTCGGTGGCCGGTTGGAGCCTCGTCGGATCGTCTTTTGGGTTTTAGGGAGCTGTAGGGTTTTTGGGTTTAGGGTTCAGGGTTTGGGGTTCAGGGTTTAGGGTTAAGGGTTTACGGTTAAGGGTTTAGGGTTAAGGGTTTAGGGTTTAGGGTTCAGGGTGTAGGGTTCAGGGTCTAGGGTTCAGGGTTTGGGGTTCAAGGTTATGTAGGTCAAGGCTTGCACTAACCATGCTCGCTCGGGGTGGGTGCCTCTAACATCTTTGGGTGCTCGCTCGCTTGTCTGCGCCGGCTGCTTGTTTGCATGCGGCGTGCTGCCCAAGCGAGCGGGCACGCAGTTTTGTTAGAAGCACGCAGCTCGAGCGAGCATGCATTGGATTTTTGTGGAATCTAACCCCAAACCCTAAACACCTCTACGGCGAGTCTGAGGCCTCAAAAGCAGGGTCGATTTTGCATGCTCGCTCGGGGAGGGTGCTTCTAACATTTTTGGGTGCTCGCTCGTTTGTCTGCGCCGGCTGCTTGTTGGCATGAGGCGTGCTGCGCAAGCGAGCGAGCACGCAATTTTGTTAGAAGCACGCACCTCGAGCGAGCATGGCTAGCGAAAGCCTTGAGTAGGGTCTAGGGTTTAGGGTTCATAGATATTCAGATGCAAAGAAGGGAGCTGTGGGGTTGAGCGTTTAGGGTTCAGGGTTTAGGATTTAGGGTTATAGGGATGCAAAAAATGCAGCTGTAGGGTTCAGGGGTCTTTTGCAGGGTGTTTTTGGGTGTTGTTTCAGGGGTTTCAGATGGTTTTGGCTGCGGATGTCTTTGAGGGTTTCCCGGAAGTCGGACCAGAGGTTCATGAAGTTTGTCCCTCAACCCTAAACCGGGGGGACCGCTCATGCTGAGCGGCCTGCAGAGGTGTTTTTGTTGCGTCTTGGGGTTTGACTTTAGGGCTGACGGCTTTAGGGTTTTAGCCGTTGTAGCATGTTCTCGAGCGGAGCTTCAGGGTTTGGGTGGCGAGGCTCTCCCGCTCCAGGATTGAAGGTTTATTAGAGCTTCGGATTCAATTTGTTGGGGCTTGCTGTGCGCCGGGTCTGTGCCGAGTTCAGGGGCGTCATGCTTCCAAGTTTCTGCTCTTGTGCTTGGACTGGAGACACTTGGGTGCTTTTTCGTTTGATGCGATAAACAGCCATGCTGAGCTAGTGGTGTTGGCGGTGTCTTTCAGTTCGCCGGGCTACACATTTCTGGAACTCTCAGCCTAACTTCAAGGTGACAACCTCATCAACCCACATACCATAGACAAACCCATACAAGCCTTGCATAACCTTATCTCCCTGCCTGGGCACCCAAGGAGAGTGGACCCGGACGACATCTCCTTCAACTCGGTGATCAGAGCTTGCCGCAAAGCTTGGCCAAGCGCAGTCTCACTGCTGGACATTGGGCCATGTTTTGTGGCTCTTTGTGTGGTTTTGTTGAGTCATGTTGAACTGATGTCAGCATGGTTTATGCACTGTGTACCTGCGGATTTACGATAGAGGTAATTAATCGTGTCGACATATCGCACGTAACAGAACAAGTGCCGTTTGCATTCTACCACAACCTTTGGCGAGGAGAGTATGAGAGCGAATCGTGTGGTGGCGACGGACAGCTCCG